TTTTACTTTGATATGTTATCACTGAAAAGTTAGCTCATCTTAAGAAAGCTATAAGACCAATGGGGGGAAACAAATGAAGAAAAGGTAAGATTAGCTTGTGTTGTAATAAAGTAAAAGAAGTGGCCTCTAAGCTTAACATTAAAGATGAAGTTGAATTTAGAACTGGACAGAGAGAAAGGTAAGGTGAGAACAACATGGAGAAGTTAGTAAGAGGAATATGCTGATTAAAGGGTTTTTGTAATATTTACTGCTCTTCTGCCAAAATGGAATGCCCGTAAGTACTTAGAAATATAGAACTATAACTTTCATCTTTGTTTCACAGTTCTGATGCTTTGGTATCTTGCCCTCCGAATATTACACCTGTAACAAACATTTCCTACCACTAGATGGCTACAGATTCATACCATGCTAGAGTAGTTATCCTGTGTTCAGGACTCTGGTGTGGTGATTTTTCAAAACATAACTTATAAAGTCTTATAATCTATTTAATGCCTTATCTCCTATAGAAACAACTTTTTAAGGAAAGTTGAATTCATTTCATCGCTTCTCAATATTCATAGTTAGGGAATTGTTTTATATTATTCCCAGGAGAAGCAACAAAGCAAATGAAATAAAAGGAATCAATATCACTTGTATCTAGTTTCTATGTATTCCTACATTATAATCCATGACTTGTTCTAAGACAACTTTCTTTGTTATTGCTAGCCAACATTGAATTCTGCCATTTAAAAAAAATTTTTGTTTTACACCTCTCCCACAACTGACTGGTTGAGATTTTCTATGGCAGAGTTATAGCTGTGAGAAAGGATATAAACCAAATTAGATGAAGAGAAAAGGATAGCAAAGCTCTCCAAAGACTTCTGCGGAAGGTCAGTGGCAATTTGGATAGTAGCAGTTGGCAGAGTACAGATCCAGCAGCTCTGCCTTCATTATACTTTATGATATCATATTCCAGAGAACATAAAGTTCTTAGTTTATTTTTGAGAAAATTATATAAATCCAAGATCATTATTTTCGACTCTCCAAATTAATAAGTAGCGCATTAAGTTTGCATTAGAAATAAAAATAATGTAGCCTAGTTTTTAAAAAAGCAAACAATACATTTGACATACCAAAATACCCCTGTCACAGAAAAGAATGCTGTTTATTGCTCTAAATTATTCAGCTTTCACACAATTTGCTGTAAACATCTAATAGTAGAGTCCAGAACTAATACTTGATGGTGATACACTGAATTTCACCTTTTTTGCCTTTCATTTGATGGTTGCAGGGGGTAAGGTGGTATGGGGGATAAACGGTAATGGAAAAAAATGCAATAGAAAATTAATTTTTTAAAGAAAAAATAGTGGATTAAGTTATTTAATTAACTTATAAAGTTAATTTATAAAATTATAAATTTTATAAAAGTTATAACTTTATAACTTTTATCACTTATAAAAGTTATTTATAAAATAGTGGATTATAATATACCCTTGAATATTAGATTAGTTTACCAAAATATGGAGAACTGTTGAGTAATCAGCACTATTTCGGGAATTACTGGGGTTGCAGATATCTTTTGGCCAAGGTCTCTGACCTCTCAGACTCATCATAATCTTATTAGTGAGATAAGATTAATTAACATAAAACAAAACCAGAAAACAAGGCAAAATGTTACAAAGAGCAAAATAGTGGGCTCTAAGCAATAAAGATTATGCAGGTATAAAGAGGGGTGGATCAAGGGAGGATCAGTGAGGCCTGAATTTCAGAGGGAGAGTCTTCAGGAAGTGAGCTTATAAATTAGGATAAATTGTATATATATATATATCATTATTATCTCTTCCATTTTTAAGTATTCTTTAATCTTTTTACACCCTGTCTAGGGACTCACATAAGTATATTAAACATGGTATGCACTCCCAAAATACTTGCCGGTTGATCAATTACTTTTTGAGGATATAATAACAAGCACAAGAAGGACAGTTTGTTTTTCTGTCATATATATATAAAGTCTGCATTAGCCATGGAGAGAGTACCTTACCATTATATCATAGTGCCAACTTGAAAGTAAGCTTGTAGATCTGTCCCTCAGAGTACAGCACCCAGAAGTTTACTGAAGAAGGAAACACTTCACAACACTGAAGAAGGAAATTAAAAAATTAAATGCCTGTTGGATTCTGAAAACAATTGTAGTTCACTGGTCTGAATCAATTAGCCATGACTTATAATAATAATATTTTATAATACCAGTAGGTAACTTTTCAACAGGAATTATTCTATAATGCTGGTATATTCAAAAACTGATATGAATATTTAAATAATGTGAACTTGCTCTCCTTTTAAGATCAGTATCTAAGTAGTATCTTATCCTTAAGAAAAGCAGGGTTTTTTTTCAATCTTTATATCTTTATATTAAGGAACTGTTATTTGTTTAGACAGGTTTCTTTCAAAGTTCAGTGTTCCACAAAAACAAAAGGCAATGAATGATATTGTTGCAATTAATATTGGACAAATACATAATTTTACCAGGACATGGCTACATAATTAGAATAACGTCACACCACCAAATATAGGGACCGAATGATAGCAATTAATAAAGTGAAAACCTTGACTAAATTTTTTGTAGGTGAATTATTTTTACCATAACACTGCATTTTGTTGAGTGTGCATACTCAAAGTAAGATTATAGCCCTGGCTGGTGTAGCTCAGTGGATTGAGTGCTGGCCTGTGAACTAAAGGGTCTCTGGTTGGATTCCCACTCAGGGCATATGCAGGGGGTGCATGAAAGGCAACACACACTGATTTTTTTCTCCCTCCCTTTCCCTCTCTCTAAAAATAAATAAATAAAACCTTTAAAAAAAAGAAAGATTATAATTTAAAATAAAGGCTGTTGCAATCATACTTACACTTGAGAAACAGCAAGTGTTTTTCCAAACTGTGGAATAATGAACACATGTTTTTCTGAATGACAAATTAAATGAAACCACAACTTTATAAATGAATGGCTTTCTAAAGGCAATGTAAATGATTAAAACCCATAGTTAATAAATTATTTGTCACATATTTTTTCCATTTTTTCATATTTATATCTGCCAGGTAGTCTGCACATTCAAGAGAATGTCTGTATTCTAACTGGTTAACCAATAGTTTATAAATAACTCTCCTTCATGTGAAAAACAGAAACAAAATTTAATTCATTTTTTCTCTTCAATTTGCTAATATCCTAGAATTTTAGGCAGGACAATATGTCATTTTATGAGTCACTGATAAGCCTCTATATGCACTTTAATTTTTGGACTTTACTTTTTTTGGTACTCTTATATTTGGGGCTGCCTACTTTTAAATTGTTTTCTTTATCTTCATTTTTTAAAAGTTTTAACCAAGAAGGAACTAGAATATCACCTGTGGTTCTCATTTTGCTGAGGAAGTTCTGGTATTTGATTCCATTCTGTTTGAAGTGTCTAGGAAAATTTGTAAATCTCAGCTATGGTGAGGAAACTTCCTCATCTAGGGAGGGCAGGCAAGAAAGAAGTAGAACATTTTATACCCGTTATATTGATCAAATGTAAACATTTTGAAAGTACTAAGCATTTGAGTGAATATGAATAACTGGATCTCATACATTATTGGCAGAAGATTATTTTTGTACAACTACTTAGAAAAAAACTAGCATTATCTCCATAAAATTGAATATTCACAATGCATATTCATTATACTGTTTGGATGATTGATTGGTTGATTAAGTATATCAAAGGATTCATGTTTGTCAAGATGATAATGGTGATTCACATACCAAGGTTTGTAATTAATCCAGTTCTATGCACTTGAGGCCAGACTATTCTTAGAATTCCAGGATGGCTGAGCACCACGGTTGGCATCCTTTGGTAAGGCAGCATACCAAGCTAAGGGAAAACTAGGAGTACAGAGAAAGGCTTGTTTTGATAGAACACTATATATTTATAGTAATGCTTGGTTCATAGAATTTTATCAATGACTTTATGAAGCAAAAAAGTGAAGAAAGAAGTAATGATTATTTGTCAGTGGCTGCTTAGATATCAGAATTTTAGTCATAACCAAATGAAACAATGGCAGGGTCACATCAAATGAATAGGTTCTGTTTGATACAATACATGTGGGAGAACGTAAGTTCCTTCCAGGTGCACAAGAAATGTGCCTGTCTTTTACATAATTCAAGGGTAGTGATCTACAAATTCTTGTCAGAAAATTTTAGGCAATTTTATATAGTTATAGTCAACATTTAGGCCAACATAAACAATTATGTGTAAAGCAACTTGTTTTTTGTAAGGGCAAATTATAAGACTAGTAGAAAAATGTAGAGTTATTGACTAAGAAAAATCCTAGTTTTTTTAAACTACATTTCTCACAAATAATAATTTGAAAGAGAAAGAGAAGTGCCTTTAACAAAGGGAGGAGATACTTTGTCGTCATACTAGCTACTATTTATCATACATCTAATACTGTCAGGTACTGGTCTGGACTCTGCAAATTATTTATTTTAACTCTCACAACAGTCAACAGTTAATGAAATAGTTATTATCGATCCCATTTAATATATGAGGAAACATAGGCCGAGAGGGCTCAAGTGAGTTTCCGAGGTTCTGCAGCTAGTGAGTGACAGAACTGGAATTTTGAACACAGACTTGCCTGATTCTAAACTCACTTTCCACTATGGCTGGTATGGCTCAGGGATTGAGTGCAGGTCTGTGAACCGAGGGGGTCACTGGTAGACCAGATTCCCAGTAGGGGGCGTGCAAGAGACAACCACACATTGATGTTTCTCTCCCTCTCTTTCTCCCTTCTCTAAATTAAATAATAAACAAACAAACAAATAAATACATAAAATAAACTCGCATTTCCTTCCCAGAAGCTGACTCATGTATGCAGTAGCAATGCTAAGTGAATGAAGCAATGGATCCTGATATTTCAGGTCTCCCATCCACCTCCTCAAAGGTGGTCCTTCTACACAGAGTACAGGGTCCCAACCCTAACTCTGCTGTCTACAGCATTGGCAAGTGACCCATTTGTCTCCTTCTTGACCAACTGGACGTCGAGCAGTGCAAAAGTAAATCCCGCCTAAAGCTGGGAGAGTCATGGTGTGGGCTACTCCTGCATGCAGGTGGGTACAAATCTTCTGGCTCCTGTGATCCTGCCTAAGAAAAGTGAGGGGGTGAAAATATAAATCAAGAAGCTGAGTACCTGCTATTACTAGATAAGGGTGACTATGTCCAAATCGGGTTAATAGCAGATACTCAAAAATATTATTATTACATCATCATCACCGTCATTACTAGCTGTGTAGTTCTTAGCAACTTACGTTAACCCCTCTTAAACTCAATGTCCTAGTACAAACAATAAGGTTGACACTACTGGAATGACGTAAGATTGTCATGGTGATTACACTACAAGATAAATTGATTTAAGTTCCACAGCAAATTGCTCATTAAATGTTAGTAAGATAGGAGAGATAAGTTTTCTCTTTTTGATGTGATACAATGAGATAATTATCTTACAGATGTTGGCTCCTGTGTATTTTATTTCCCCATAGTCCTACAAGCTTCCTGACAGACAAGCTTTCCCCAGCCTCTTCACTCCTTGTATGTAAAAACAGTCTTTAAATCTGGTACTAATAAAATTCTTTTTCCAATTATGTTTTATAATTTAAATCTACATTGAAAACCAATTCCCAGCTCCTTCTTTCCTTTATAATACCTTTGAATATTCCAGTGCACACTAATCTCTCCCTCTACCACACAGTTTCGTAATGACCACTTTCCCACTTTTTGTATTCATTTATGTTATCTTATTTGCTAAGTTGTAAACTCTTTGAAAGCAGACTCCATCTTCTCATATATCTTAGTACTTACTGCAGCACCTAGCCCAGTGTCTTGCATAAAATAGAAGCTGAATAAATAATCACTGATGGATAAATTCATGTAAGTTATCTATGAAGTCCATCATTAATTCTTATAACTAGAATTCAAAGGAAGGTCTAGAAAATTGAATACTATAGTTTTAATACCATATATAATGTGGCACTATTTTATGTGGTAAATAAAATTTAGACTGAAAATTCATTTAAAATCCAGAAAAGATTTGTTTGTGCTAGATGACTTAATATTCAGTTAAGTGAAAATAATTATTTGGTAGGAAGACCTCACACACTTATTTTGTTACCGTTATGGATGATAAACTTGCCTTCTTGGGAAATGTCTTTAGAGCCCTCTGCCAGAAAAGACATCGGGTTCCTACGTCTAACATCAAGCCATAACTATGTTCTGATAATTATCTCAATATTGTAAAAAATGTACACTACTTGTACCTCATTATAATCTTACTAATTTTAGGCAGTTGAGATTAAATATATCAGTGAAAAATATATTGAACTAAATAAATCTTTGTTGATTAAAATACAAAACCCAGTTAAAAAAAAAAGACACATTTTTCCTGACAATTGGTAAGGACCATTAGAAAAACATTCTTTTTTTCTGGAAGTTTTGGAATCTGGGTTTTTTTTTAATTGTTTTTTTTTTTATTGTTCAAATGCATTTGTCCCCATTTTCCTGCCACCATTTTCCCCTGCCCCACCCACCCTCACCTCCCACCATCAATCCTTCCCCATTTTGGCTTTGTCCATGGGTCCTTTACACATGTTCCTTGATTTGACCCTTCCCCTTCTTTTCCCTGTTACCCCCCGCTTCCCTCTCGTTACTGTCGGTTTATTTATTCTTTAAATGTTGCTGGTTATAGTTTCCTTGCTTGTTTGCTTTGTTGATTAAGTTCCACTTGTAGGTGAGATCATATGGTATTTGTCTTTCACCCCCTGGCTTATATCACTTAACATAATGCTGTCCAGTTCCATCCATGGTGTCTCGAAGGGTAGTAGCTTGGAAAGACATTTTTATGTGGTATACTTTCAAAAATCATTTTCCTTTCAACTGTCATCTTTATTGACATTATTGAATCAAGGATGACAAAATTTCATCATCAAGTATGTCAGTGATACAAAATAGAAGGAGAAGGTAGGCCATACACCTCTGTGTAAACTACTTTGTCATCAGGTCCCAGAAATTGACCTCTTTTTGAAAATAAAATAAGTATCTTCTTCCTTAGAAATATGGTAAAAAAGAGTGTTCATATGACCTACTGACCTTATGAATAAATGTGTTATAATGATACAATTTTACTATTTTCTCATTATTTTAAAAAATAAATGCCCTTTGAATACCCCGTTATACCTTTCCAGCCACACACACAGATATTACACTGAATACAAGATGTGATAAGACAATATTTTAAATAGGTTTTTAAAAACTTAATTTCTCAAAATAATACAGCCTCAGGGCTTGTCTTAGAGGTCCATGTGGGTAGGTGAGAATCTGTCAACATAATGTCTGCTCTCAGCATTTTTCAAAAGGACAACATGCTGTTTCATTTCTCAAGTAATTACTTTTGCTTTTTATTCCTCCTTTAGGTTACATTAGAACTTTGAGGATAGAAAAGTATGATTGTTTAGATTTTCTTATATTATGAAACAGTGTTTGTGATAAAGACTATGAATTCTCTTTGATAAACATCTGCTTACAGTTGAAGTGTTACTTAGTATAGAATGTAGTATTCAAAAGAAAAAGCAATTTGTCTAATGAATGCTTTTTCCCTTGTTATATTTATACTTTTGCCAACTTGATGTATCTATATTGCCTATTTGTCCTTTGTTACTGTTGACATAACAAATTTCTATCTCGAGCAGATGGTGTATCTGTCATTGATTGTTCGAGTGCTTAAAAATCATTCTGCTGCAGGGAATTTGTATCATTAAACTTCTGATTAAGCAATATTAATAAATTTAAATTATGGGCTGTTCTGTCTGCAATGTCTGAAACCTTGTTACATAAAAATTTATATGTATATCATGAAATTTGTATCAAAAACAAATCAATGTAAAGATCTATTTTACTAAGTTTATATATAGCATGATGAAGAATAAGTGACAAAATTTTACTCATTAGTTTTGCATGAATTTATCATGGACTTTACTTGTTTCCTTTACTAATCTCTCCATAATTTATCCTAAAAGAAATTAAAAATCATAATCATGTATCTCAATACTTTCTTTTTATAGACAGTAATTTTTTTCATTGTCACCCAAAGATATGATTATGGATTTTTAGAGAAAGGGGGAGGGGGAGAGAGAGAACCATCGATGTGAGAAACATTGATCGGTTGCCTCCCTTACTCACCCTGACCGAGGATTGAACCCACAGCTTAGGTATGTGCCCTGACGTAGAATCAAACCCACAAACTTTTGGTGCACAGGACAATGCTCCAACCAACTGAGCCACCTGGCTCAGTACTTTTTTGAATATAATGTTTAAATATAAGTCTGTTTTTAATCTTCAAATTTAGGTCTTTTTGTCCATAACTCTTAACAGTCCACTACCTCATCTGCACCACAAAGAAATTCATAAGATTTCATATTTTGTTATCAGGAAAGAATTAGAGAGAATGCCATTTTTTTATTCTCAGCCACATTTTCAATATTAGAATGATTAAAAGTGGGCCAACAAAAGTTTTGCATTTAACTTAATACAGTTTTAAAAATTAAGGTAATGAATGAATATTTGTGTAAATATAATAACTGTTGAACACTACATATAAGTATTCAATAATTCTTTGTATTAAAGTTCTAAATTTGTGGTACAAATAGTAAGCACTGTAAGAATTCAGAAAATAGATAAATGTGAACTAGAGTGGATAATGCTAGTTTAAGGAGTTGCTCTGCTAAAAAGTCATGCAGGCATGAGGTCACATGGACAAAAAGTTCGAGAGATAGAGATGATTATAGTTCACACTTAATTAGTCAACAGTGGAAATGACTGAATACAAAGAACGGTATGGTAGAAAGAGTAATTGATAAGGACTTAGAAATTCTGGGTTCTCATCCTGGCTCTGCCATTGGCCAACTTTATGTCTAGCAGATCACTTCCTCCTTTTGACTTTGGTTCCTTCATCTGTAAAAAAGAGACTGAACTGAATTCATCCATTCATCATTTATTTATTGTGAGATTACTTTGTGCAGGGCACTCCATTTGAGCACTATGTTAATGATCTCTAAAGTTCCATTCCTGCTTTAACTCCAATGGAAATCACTTTTATTACCAGTATTTCCAGTGACATAGTTGTAGCCAGTTTGAGATCATGTGCTTCTTTGTCAGAAAAGAACATTTCCTGCAGGTAAGTGAACCCAAAGCAGCAAATAATACTTATGTTAAATTGACTTGAAACTTCCTAGCGAGTGCTCTTCCCTAACTAGATTAGGACCATGTTTTCTTTTTCTGTGATAATGATGCAACCCCAGAATGGTAGTTGACTCTTCCAGGAGAAGCTGGCGTTGCATATTTTTAGAGCGTGAAACCTGTCATTATGTTACAGGTATCCATGACTGCAGCTGACTTAGCTGAGAAGGATGGTTACAGTGCACTGGTCTTCTTTGCCATTTCTCACAACTGAAGTCTGTTCCCCAATTGCTCTATCACCTGGGTCTCAGGAAGCTTGCTCTTGTTTCTAGTGCTAATCACCTAACAGGGGAAATTTGTTATAACAAGTGAACAAGTAACTCCACCAACTCAAAGAAGCTGGAATGCCTTCTCTGAACTTAATTGGTTTAAGGCTACTGACCCACTTCCCTTGGTAGGTTTCCCTATTACAAAGAGTGGGAAAGTGGCCCCAAGCCATCAGAATGGATTAGACATCACTTGTGATAATACACACGGACCCTCCACTGCATTAACTGGAGAAGTTCAAGGTAGATCTAGTCCAAAATGAATCTAAGAAGTGAGAAAAAATTATTGTTACTCATCTAATATTTATTCTGTATTTTAAATTTGTGGTATGATAAAAGTAGTTATGTTTATCCATAAATAAATCTGGGCCTTAATAATATAGAAGATTCAAATTACAAGATCAAACAATAAGTTGATATTTTGCTTAATTTTGTCACATCAAAAAACAGAGACAGAATTTTCTCTTTGTGGAAATGCCAGGATACAGTTAAATCCATCTGCAAGTTCTCCTGATTAATGTTTGCTTTCGTTATTGCTAGTGGATATCATGGTCATAGTGGTAGGGATG